TTTTTTTTTTTTCAGAAAGAACTGGCATTACCCTTTTTTGTTCTATAACGATCAAAATCATTTCGGTAGAATACTACTGAAAAAAAGTTTCTATGCTTAATTTGCATCGTCTTTTTGTTAGTTTGTTACTTTTTTTATCAACTGCTAATGATAGATTAGTATTGTTGATTAGTGGATTTTCTCACTTAATTTGGTTTTGTTTTAACGTCTAGACAATTTAAAAATTTACAGAAAAAAAAAAGAAAAAAAAAAATGAAATAATCTGTCAAAGAACTGACAACTTTTTTACCATCACATGCTGACTGTGATCGTTGCCTTGCGATGGATTTGTTTCGTATACCCATTGCAATATGACGTTTTAACACATCAGCCCAAAGTTCCTCAGATTGTTTTATCTTCTTTACTTCACCGTCAATCACCACTCGTCCATCTGAAGTATCGCAATCAAAATACATTTTATTATAATTAGCAAAAATATATATAATGCAATTTAAAAAAAAAAAAAAAAAAAAATGAAAACATCAACACAAAATTTGCATACAACCTTTCAGATAGGAAATTTTTGGTTTTTTTGGTAGTTCCTTGAATACTGGTGGCGACATGCCTTTCCTTGGTGCAGCATAAAATTCAGATACATTTTCTGGATTCATCATAATGCCTAACATTTTTGGTTTCTACTGAACGATGCTACAATAGTACAGTGAGTTAGTGTCGGAAGAATCTACTTAGTGGTTAAATAGATGTTTGTATTTGATTCATATAATGGTAAGGAAAAAAGAAAATTAAGAAACAAGAAGACTGTTGAAACAAATTTATCAACACGTTAATGGCCGCAGTATTCGTAAGAATAACTGTATAAAACAAGTAAAGTTGTAATCAACTCGTTTTACTCTCAATTAGAATAATCAAGATTAAAAAGAGGTTTAATTCAGATTTTTACTTATTCTTGTCAAAAAATAAAAACAAAAACAGGAAGTTGAAGCGCAAAACATTTAAATTTATTTTATACCAAGAAAAAATTGGTCAAATTAAAAAAAAAAAA